TATGTAGTCGTCTTATTGCTAGGATCTTTTATAAAGCACCTTTGACTGCTAAAGCTGAGTCCTACCATATAATTAATGCCTGACACTAAATGTAGTTCTGTCTCTTGCTGTCTAATAGAAGTCTCTGAGCAATTTAATGTAAACTACAGCTCTCTGAGTTAAGGCAAATACGATATTGAAATGCGTATACAGTCATCTAAGTTTTGGGAGCAGTAAGTACACAAGTAAACATTTACATTCTACCTGGTTAATCTCTTCTGTTTAAAGAGCCTTGTATACACAATGTATTATAACAATTATTCCATGTAACTTACTGAATATAGTACATTTAACAAAACAGAAGCTGTATCCGAAGTGAAATCTAACAGTGTAAATAAGGTTTAAATAACTGAATGTATTCAAGCTGTGGTCAGCACAGCAAGACCCAAGTTGCTGTATTAGTATCCTGATGCATAGCAGAATTAATATCTCAGGAGATATTATTTCTTGAAAGCCAGCTATCAAGAGCAGAAGCTTCCTGGCATTTATTTAAAGACCACTGTATGATTTCAAACAAAATGGCAAAGTCTTGAAGTCTCAAAGTTCAAAGTGGTTCTGAAAACCCATACCTAAGGCTGTATTGGGAGTTGGTTTCTTGCAAAAAACAATCTCTGAAGTGAATATAAATTGAGGCTTCACAGCTGTTTTGTTCTGATTAAGAAATTGCCCATCTCACAACAAGAGGCTAGAGGTTTTTAACATACCTACAGTATGTAGCAGAAATACAAAACCAGACATTTCCCCATCAACACCCCCAAACACTTCCTTCACCGCCTGTCTTCAAACGGTGAAGATGTATTTTATTTTCCTATAAATGAGCATACTACACTACCCAGGGCATCAAGCTGAAGATTTACAACCATCTCTGCAAAAACAAATTGGAAGTTTGCACATCGACACTGATGCTTTGAATAAAGAACACCTTAAGGATATAAATGAGTGCAAATCCTGAATTGCCTTAAATCTGTGAGCAGCCTGTCTCATTTCGAAAAAAAAAACATCCATCCATTTTCTAACAGCTTGAGCTGATAGAGTAATGGGTGTAAGGCAAGATACATCATGCGTTGGACACCAGTCTACACACAGACAGACACACACACTCACACCAGGACCAAATTTCTTAGAAGCCAATTAACCTGCCAGTCCTTGGTGCATCTGGAGGAAACCCACACAGAGAACATACGAACTCCATGCAGAAAGCACCCCAAAAACTTAACCCACCATACAAGGTAGCAAATGCTACTGTACTGCCCAACAAAAAACATATACAATTTAAACTGACCCTATATTGTGCACTGAAAGCTGCTTAATATAGTCACAAGATCCTCCAGCACTTTTGCATTACAGTGCCATTCGACAAGAGGAAGGTACAGGCATCAGGCAGCTGACACCTCACTTTACCTTCTGGGTGGAAAATACAGACAACATTGATTTTGTATTGAATAGCTCAAAAAAGCTAAGAGCCCAAGGTACAGCTGAAAGCAGACAAACAGGCTTTGAGTATTTAGATAAACAATAATGAGGAAACAGCCAGAACGAAAAGAGAATCAGGTTTGCCTCTTCCTATCCCATTTGATAAAAAAAGAAATGAAACAAGAGATTAATGGCCACGTGCGTGGTTTTTCACGTACACAATCACATTCCTTTTACCATTTATTTAACTACTGAAAACAACTGAGCACATCTAAGATCTCTTGAAAATCTATTTTATTTTTGCATAGACTATGCTTCACTGAAGCAACATGACAATCAAAGCTCGCACACAAATTTCCTACAAAGCCCACAGGCGGGCGCACAGAAAACTCAAGTTCCGGCACAGCCCGAAAAAAA